CAATGTCATCTCCCTGCTGAGCCAAAGCATGCTCTCTTCTGCCCTGCTTGCTGCGGGGGATGAGACAATGCTGACAAGGCTGGAGAGAGCTGTTGCAGAAGGGGAAGGAACATGCTGGACAAATCTCCATTAATTCTGCTACTTGCAGCAGCCTGCCTGCATGTATGAACTTCTTAAACCTGCTTTGTCATGAAAGCACTGTAGAATAACTACCTCTAAAGTAACTGTTTGGAGGCTAATCTGCCTAAACCAGCATGTCCCAGTATAACTGCAACTATCTTTTCATGTAAATTACAATTTTTTGAACACTTGCTTCCTTTCTTGACACACAGTTTAACATTTTCCACTGCCAAGCTGATTTATTAGTTAAGTTCCTTGGGCCCAACCTGTACAGGATAAAAAAGCATGTACTATAGTTTCACTGAAGGTAAATTTGTCAACAGTTTACTCAGAATTTTTTAACATGGCTTCCAATTATATTTTTATGTGCTTCATTTCATTTGGATTCTTTAGAAGTTTTAGAGCAATCCATTCACCTCTGTTACGCACAAGGAAAAGAACTTTTTCTTGGATTTGCACATAGAAAGGAATTCAGATTGATGAAATCTTGAAACATGGATGGCCCTCAGCAGGGAGCAGTCTGAACATTTTATTTTTAAAATGGCTTTAATCAGATAACATAAAAATTATTGGGGTTTACTTAAATGAGCAATTGCCAGCAGCACTATGGACTTGATAAGAACAACAGTGAACCCATTGTGAAAGACTTCAAACTTTTCTCTAAAAGCTCACAGAGAGTGTAGCAACAAGATTTTCACATTAAAAACAAAACTTTAGGAAACAACAACATTACCGTTTTTATAGCAGTACTCTTGGATACATGCTAGACAGACTCACCTGCATCTACCCTGCTCCTGCAGAAATTACATTCCCTGTACACATATGCAAGCCATCTGATGATGAACATTCACCAGGTGTTGCACTCATGCAGCAGAAAAATTTGGATCACAGTTGAGCAAGCTACATTCCCGGGCTGCATCCTATATTACTATTAGGATCATACAACTTTCAAGCCAGCAGGCACTGCAGAAACGTTTAGAATCCCAAAGAATGTCAGTTTTCACATTGTGGCACATGTGCTTTCTTATTTGAAATTGTGAAACTGCGTCTTGTTTTTAGTTATCTGGTGCACCAATGTCAGGTGTAGTGACCTGTGGTTTTAGTTTTGAAGCGCTTATTTCTCTAGCTTGAACCTGTAGTCTAGGATAAAGATTAAAAATTGACAGGAGTGAAGATAGCTTCTCATAGCATCCTGACAATGTACTTCCACAGGTAACTCCTGCAGTTAATACTGATGTAATGACTGTTCAGGAACCTGGAAATTCCTTTAAGCCTGACAACAAACCAGCCGAAGTGGCAATTCTGCTGTGTTTGGAAGTATTCCCCAGGAACTACACCAGTCAACTATCACAGAAAGGACAGAAAACCAACCAAACCACAACAGACCTGAGCCCGAGGCTTCAGTGGGTTAAAATCTTCTGTAACTTGCTACCAGCAACAGGAGATACCAAACCTGCTTCACTCCACAATTGCTGTCAATTTTAGTACTTTTGCTTTGACTGTATCTATGGTCACTGTTTCCATTTCCACCAAATATAACAGAAAATATCAGAGTAAAAACTACTGGAGTACTTCTTAAATAGACAGCTGCCTTCAGGTCTCAGTTATTCACATCTTTACAATGGAAAGATGTGGCTAGTTATCTGGGGAAAGATCTTGGTGAAAGCATTTCATTCCACTTGTTAACAGCTCATCATTTTATTTTGTCTTTATTCGACATTAGTTAATAGGATTCTATGGAAAGGGCTGTATCATGCCTTCAAAGAACAGAGGTCTTCTGTGCACACAAATAAGAGCAAGAATAGAAGGATCCCGGGCTGAATTCCCTGAAAAAGTTATTCCTGAGAAAACAATTATATGGCAGTGTATGTCAATAACGTAGACTGAAAAAGAGAAGAAATCCCACTCAAGACAGAGGTGGAAGAAGTATCACTCTGTCTTGTACATTTTGTTGGGTGTTGGTTCTCAAACTAAAGTCTTCTTGTTACCTTGCTGGATTCCTCCAGTTGAGTGCCTCGTTTCCAGGCCTCGGAGAACATGGAGCTGACAATACTTTGGGAACGGACATGTCCACCTGGCTGGGTGTCAGAAACTCCACTGTCAGACTGATTAGAATGATTTGATTGAGATTCTGTTTAGAAGAAAGTTAAGGAACAGTTAGCATGTGTTTCTGAACAGAAGAGTAAAGTCAGTGTGCTTATAACGCAACTCTGTGTGACATTTATTGGTCACACTTGTTCAACCTGTTATCACACCGAAAGACACAGTTCCCACTAACTACTGCCTAAGCTCCAGCTTGTTGCTGCCTGGAAAACAAAACAGTGCAACAGATCCCTGGTTTAATCAAATCTGAAGCTTAATTAAGATGACAGCACGTCAGATATGTTACAAAGTGAAAACACACTGCAGTTGTATAGGTTCCGAAATACCCAACAACTCCTGCACTTTGGAAAAGCCCCATTTCATGTAACGCGTATAGCCTGCTCTCTCCAGCGCTCCTTCCCAGCACAACCTTAGAAACAGACACCAGAGATGGGCTGAGGACAGGCAAACTACACTAGCCAAGGCAGCAGCCTGCTTCTGACTGCTCCATTCCTCAAGACAGGAGAAGGAATGACACGTGTCCTGCAACTAGCAAACACAGGTGATGCTCTGGATCCACAGGATATCTTGAAAAGACAGCAGCAGCCACTGCCAGACTGCTTTATCCAGCCTGACATCTGTTTTCTGTGTAGTCTTAAACTGTCCTGGGGAAAAAGAGCATCTAGGCACAAGCTGGATGGTAGCTTCGGCAGAACATGCAAGGCTGGTGGGCTGTGGCTCAGCTCCCCACAACAGCAGAAACTTTATCAGAAAAACACCCATCTTGGATGGAGAAATTGTCAGTAACTGAGAATTTACTGCTACACCTTGCAAGCTGTTCCACACAGCTGAAAGCCCATAGTGCCTTCCCAGTTAGGCTCAATTTGCTTAGCTCATTCTCACAGATCACCTTCTGGACCGTTACAATTCAGTGGCATTATTTCCTGATGTGTATCTGCGATGGACAAAGCCCTTCACACAATAACCTGTTTTCAATAATGAAACTTGCCCCTGAGGGTTCAGAAAAACCTGGCAGAGTGTCAGTCAGCTCTAAAAAGTGAAATGAGGCTATATAAAACATTCATCGATTTTTAAGCTGTTATGTGCTACATAAAAACAGTTCCAGTCCTGCTGAGAGGTAAACAGGAGCATATTACTGCAGTCACACAGAGTTTGACACAGGAACAGAAACTCTATTTTCAAAGTTTGTCTCTAAAGAGATTGTTTGGATCTTTGCCTGTGGACAGGGACTATTTCTCATTTTCCCATTCCAAATATTTCAGTCAACAAAAGCAGTTTAAGCACTACACATGCAAGTCTTCTATGCATCATTAAAACATAGATTTTATTTATTTTCTCAAATAGGTGAAGATAGAGGCATCACAAATTTGAAAGGAAGTTTCCTCTTCTCAGTATCAGAAACATTCTCTTTTGGAGGTGAACAAGAACATTCCACGTAGATACACTACTGCAAGTAATACAATAAAATAGGTTTTTATATGTTTATATATATGTATATGTGTTAAACATAAAGTCTATCTTTTGGACTAAACATGCCATAAAAGATTTCGGAGCACATATTTCACATAGCATGTGATAGAAAAGGTAATTAAATCTTTCTATTATGAGGCAGATCACATCATTACCTGGCAAACTAGATGAGCTGGAGCCTGACTTGATACTCGAGCTAGACAAGGAAGTCCAGTCATATGCTGATTCTGTTCTCTTCAATGCTTCCTGATAGTTCATGTATAGTTGCTTCCCATACTAAGCAAAATGACAGACAAATTTTACAACTGTATAGGCTGCATACCCTTTTCAGACTGTTGAGCTCCACCTCTGGCTTCTCTGTTCCACCTTTACCCCCCCCCAGCAGAGAGAAACAACAGGCTCAGGCAATATTAATTCAGTGCAAATATCACTTTGTTTTATTTAACAAAAGTGGCAACTCCCTTCCCCCAACCTTTTTGCCTTTTTATTAGTGCATTGCTAAAAGAAAGAAAAATAGTTTACTTATGCTAGAAGAGATGGCGTCAAGCAAGACATGGGGCAATGAATAAACTAAGCCAATCTGGGAATCTTGGAAAACAATTCTGTTTTCTCAATTCTCTTCTTTTCCCATAAGCCTTCTTTTAAAAATCTGTAAGGGAGCTGGCTAAAATCCAGCCATGATGTCCTTTAGAACTTCATAATGTGACAAAAAGGTGTATCAGAAACAAGAAGAAAGAGCCCATTTACTAAATTATCATAACAACAAAGCCTAACAATTTTGCTAGGGAATGAAATATGTAAGTCTGTACAGCTCACGTTCAGAATAGTTAAAACAGAGGGAAGTTAGATTTAGCATGTATTTTGCTAAGTAACTGTAAATGGTTTCAAAGAGATAATAACAACTACTCATGGCAACAGTGCCAAACTGCCTAAAGGAGGTTACCTTAGCAATGCGGATGCCATTGATCCATTGATGTAGAGTTCTTACATCATCACAGCAAAGATACTTAATATACTGGGATTTCTTCTGGATCTGAGGATGCTGCAGAAAAATTGTTAATTCTCAGCAATATTTTAATAGCTAGGAACGCAAGGAAAGCCGTTTATCTGTTGAGGTCTCTACAAACAAACTTAATGCTGGAAGCTCTTCACTAGTAGTCTGTGTTTTGAGCCCACTTAAAAGTGTTTAAGAGTATTTCAGGAGGCAGCAGTGGGGATTGCTTCACATACAGTTTGTCAGTGTGCCCAGTGTGCACTGATTTCAGGTTTGAAACACTAAGAAAGGGTGAATCTTTCAGTATTTTAGTGCTGTACTTTCTACCTACCAACAGTCTTCTGTATCTGGAAGGTTCTTTGGAAATCTTTATACTCTCAAGACTAGTGGTCAGAACATCTCAGCCAGTAAAAACCCTTCCTAAAGACAATCAAGAGACTGCTAAGGCATAAAGAGTTGTCTCGTTTCACTGCTCTAGGGACTAACTCAGAAGTTGAGGGAGACAACTAATATTTCACCTTCCTCTCGCACCAAAACAAACTGGAGGAAAACAAACACACTCATCTTCTCTGCTTTTGTATGGCTTAATTGTGACACTCCACAAATGACAACACTGTTAAACACAATTCCATTTTCAGCTTGTACAGCCTTCAAGGTCCCCACCCTACTGATACAGCGCTATCATCTAACGTACTTACTGCTCGCACATGCATGTATAAAAAAAGAAAAGGTGCTGTATTTATCAATTAAGCAGTCTAGAAAGAAATGTACATTTTTCAAAAAATCGGACACTGGAAATCATTCTGGATGGATTAGCCAGCTGTTTCCTCTCCATGCTGTAAAAGTTACATGTTTCACAGATGTAGGAGAAACTCTGAATACTCAAGTTCTTATCATTTCCTCCATTAGCTTACAGTTCAGTGACACAAAGTTTTGCTAGATGATCATAGGTATTTAACTTTTACTGAAGACTGAAACACATATCAAAGAACTTTTAATTTCTTTTCAGAGTATTTTCTCCTGTTGTCTTCCAAACATAATTATTTCAAAATGAACATGGACATTTTTATCTCCATAAACAGAATATGTATAACTAACGTCTTTATGGTATTGGATAATTGTTTTCATTTTTTACATATGTGAAGACACTTTACTTGCTACAAACACACTGTGAAAACTGGTTTTAAAGTAGCTTTATAGCTAGCTATCTTGCAGGAACTGACACCATTATGAACACTGTTGGAGTTGAGAGATTGGGAGATCAGTTGATGCAAATTTAAATATCTTGAAGTACTCAAGTTATTCATCTCGCAGTTCAAGATCAGGTCACTACTTTCATAAGCTTCTTCCTTTACAGCATCCCCTTTCCATCAGGTTGGGCAATATGGGTAGACTTGACTCTCTAATACCAATTTCTGCAGAAATCTGGACCTACACTCTGATGATGGCAGCTCTCTGAAGCTAGCATTTCAAGGGGTATTATCTCACTGAACCTGAATTGTTGCAAGGTATAGTTATCAAAGGGACAAAAAGAGATTAGTGTTATGTTTTAAAGTATGATGAACAATTAAATAGACTGCACTCATCAGTCTGGAAGACAGACAATTCAGGACAATATGAAAATGTTTACAAAGTCATGAGGAGCAAGAACAGGCAACAATTGTAATTTCCTATACAAGAACTATAGGAAAATAAAACGGCAGCTGATGGTTCAGAACAAGTAAAAGAGTGTACAAGGTGTACCTAAATGCTGCAGCATTCTCAAAGATTTTGTAATCCCAAAAGAGACAGGGCATACTCAAAGAGTAAGAATGCACCTAAGGCTATTAAACAGCCAAGACCCACTCCCTGGCTCCCTAAACTTCTAAAGGCTCAAAAAGTATTCTGTGGAAGTATCTCTGCAAGACTGTCCTGTATTTCTAATTTTTCCCTAAGCAGCTTATAAAGAAAGGCCATTGTCAGAGAAACCTAGAGTGCTGGATGAATCCAGTAAAGCCATTCTTCTGCTGCTCTCTGTGATCTCCCCTCCCCTCTGCCCCTCAATCCACACAGATCTCCTGGCAAGTGCAGGAAATGTCAGCTTAATGGGAAAGAAAGTGGTTCATAGCCTTTTCTTCCCTCTGCACTACTCTCCACACAGCATCTTCTAATTTTTTACTGTATTTTTGTCAAGGAGGCTCATAAGCTTTCTCATTGTCATTGTAACTTACGGCAATTTAGATTTCTCGTGTGTAGAATGAAAATAATTTATAGAGATTCATCCTGAAAACCAACAGACATAGTTTTCCAATTGTGATATTACTATAGGAAGTATAGTCTAAATTATAATCTCTCCCAAGATTAATATTGTGTTAATCAGCTCTTGATCACAATTAGGAAATGTAGTTATTAAAGGAACTAAGATTAGTGTGGAAATGTTTCAAGCTCTTTAATTGCTCTTTTCAGTATGAAAATTTTCAAAGCAATTAACAAGTTACCTTCAGCACTAAACAATAGTCTGTGGGTGCTTTGTATTTATTCCGATAGTCTTGTCCGTAGTAAACATTTACATGATCTAGCTGTAGAAAGCACACCAGATCCCGTGAGACCTATTAAATAAAAATAATCATTTACAAAGTATCTTTATAAAAAAAACACATGCACTGACAAAATCAGTCTAGTATTAAGATCCAATACTAATATAAGGTCTAGTTACAGTCAAATGTTAGTTTCAATCTGATTCAGAAACTACCAATACAAGGAGATACAGCCATGCATAAACTCTTGCATCAGATGTTAATTTTCAACCAGGATATCCTTTTCCAAATTCAGTCTGGTTTTTTGTGTTTTGTTTGCATTTGCCTTTTGACAATATTTTACACCGGACTACTAATGTCTATTCAGAGTTGTTATCAGGAGAATGTAAATAGGATTGGTTGACTGGGAACTTTTTAACAGCTGCTGGTTACATTTCATTGTGGTAACAATCAAGGTGTCCAAATTCCAGTGTGACGGTGAACACAATTCTAATCATGTTTGGCAATGATTGTAGGGCACGTAATTTCAACAGGCTATCTTCCTTATAGATTATTTTAACAAAGCAAAAAAAAGAACATCTGAGATGTATTCGGGTCTAAAGGGAGCTGATATGCTGACAGCAATTCTTCCTTCATTGCCAGCTGTGTGGGAAGTGGACATCCTGTACTGGGGATCAGTGGATGCCGTCAAGACTGATGGATTCAGTTCAGCCCTGAAGCTATAATGCATTTGTAGCAGCTTTCTATTTACTTTTCATTATTGATGCACACAGAACAACAGTAAGTAACACTGAAGAAATGGTATTACATTTACCAGTTTTAAAAAATGTAGCACAAATTGATCTGAAAAGAATCCCATTTATGTGAACTAACTAAAACCAATGCAATTAAGCAGACTGGTTGTGGAGTTGGTCTGATATTTTATGATTGGCATTTGCAGTGCAATTTGGTCCTTCATCTGAATTCTGCTTGAGAAAAGACAGACTCTTAACTTCACCAATCATTTTTCCTCAAGTGTTCCTGAACACCTAACCCCGAGCTCACTCAAAAAGCAGACCCTTGACTTCCTGTGTTTTTAAATTTGGGGTTACACCCTTCACATCAAGTGCTACCACAGTAATTTACACAATATTTCCATAGTATAGCTGCACTTTTAATTAAGGGATGTGGCACTAGGCAAGGCACAGCTATGCCAAAATTTAAGGCTGGCTCTTGTGCACATGATTCACCAGCAATAAACGATTCAGGGTAATTGCTTTAAAATAGCATACCTTTGCCTTCCCTTTGGGGACGTAGTAGATTCCAGAAGCTCGAAGAAGAAAGTAACGTTTCTTCCAAGACTTCTTACCATCCTCTTTCAGCCACAAAACTCCCTCAATCTCTGGCACAGTTACAGAACTTCCACAGAAACATTCCTGCCAATAAACACAGTGGTTTGGGAAGACAGAAAGAGACAGAATATACAGCACGCACTGGTTTGTTTTTAGTGACTGAAAATTCTTTATCTAAGGAATGCACACAGGACAGGGACAGCTCATTTTTTCATGCTGTCATATGAATTAGAGATTAACTGTAGAAGCTATAAGGTAATTCAGACAAACACAACAAGGGAGCTTACCATTTTCTCAGTGCAAGAATGACAACAAAAGTATTAGCAGCTACTGTAAAGACTTCCTAACCACCGCTTATCAGCAATAGATCCCTCAACAGCTTCACTTGCTTTAAAGCCACATGGACACCTTATAGATATAGCTCCATAAGCAAGTATACACAAAACCTAATTACGTATCCATCAGATATAGCTGCAATTTATTCTATGAATACTTTGTTGCTACTACCTGCCAACACTACAACTTCTGTTAAGCTTCTATTTATAAAGAGCTAACAGGAAAACAATTGCTTTAAACATACTCCAAATTAATATGCAGCACAGAGATTTATGAGCAGTCCTAGAAGACAGAAAAAATTAGATAGAATTACAATCCTCTGCATGTCATGGCTTCAAGCATCTTTTTAATCCACAGTATTCACATGACCACTTATTAAAACCTATATTAATAATACACTAAGAGCATGCATTTGCCACTTATAAGTTAAATTGTATTAAGTATAATCCAAAATTAAATACCCAAAATATTTACTTTAGTGTGACTACTGAAATCATAACCATTATTCTGGAAATCAAGTGGAAGCTAGGACACTTCAGCATGGGTGTGTGTCTACAAAAATGTCACAAAAACTATTCAGTTTTCAGCTAATGGAGGCTGTTTACTGTTTGCCTTATTTGCTCCACACATTTCTTTTGTTGTCCTTAGCTCTGTAAACTTTAATGTGTTTGATATTAATCATCTTCCTTTTCTGTCCCTCATTTTTTAAATTTAATATTTGGTAGTTTATTTTAAAATTTAATTGAAACAATTTTAACTACTTTGCTTATTAAAAAAATTTAAAATAACATAGACCAGTCACTGAACCAATTCTACAGAATTTTGTAGAGAATAACAATTTGGAGAGTACTAGTAAAAAAGTCTCTACCACCACAGGTCAAAAAAACAGGTGACAGGTCTGCAATTTTGGACTGTTTTCAGTCATAGTTACAGGTAGCCTCATTTTGATTATCACTATGTATGATATTTTAGTTATTAAACAAAATAAAGGCATATTTTTATTAACTGATTGTATCTGAAACAAGGTAACATTAAAATAGCCATTTATCTCAAATGTAACATATTCCATTCACAGCTGTTCCAAAATCACATTCAGTTTTGTCCATCAATTTCAATTACCATAACCTTTTAGACTTTAGCTTCAAGCTCTGAAATGACCACTATACCCTTTTTGTTTCGGCAGTCTTACCTCTAGCAGCACCTCTTTATTTCTGTCTGCCATCTCAGAGGTTTCTTTCTTCCCCAGAAGATAGTTCTGTAACAAGAGAAAGCTTGATATTTCTATAGGCATTCTGAAATCTAGCCAAATAATATTTCTCATTTACGTTTCTGTAACAGTTAGAAAAAAACCAGCTATTATCTAAGAACAATACATTAAAGAAAACTTTGTAGTCCAATTGAAACTCTGTCAGACTGCTAAATAATATATGGAACCAAGTTATAACCACCTTTTCTAGAAATATCAATCAGTCCATACTCTTATCTTAAGTAACAGCCTTGTAACAACATTGTCCTGGCTTTTCACAAAACAAACTGCTGCCTGGTACAATGCATCAAGAAATAAAAATACTATGAACTTGCAAATTCTACAATAAAAATACTTCAAAAACCAGAGATCTTTAAACTTGTTACACACTGCCATTATTTATGTCTTCAAAGAAGCACCTATAGAAGCAATGTACTTCTTTCTACCTTGTCCTGACAGTTTTGCTGAATAAAACTATTTACTTTCCATTAATACTCCTTGTCTTCTTAAGAGGACTTTAACTATGCATAGGTACTGTATCTTATTCAACATGAAGTTTGTACTCTTCAGCTTGGAAAGGACCAGGACAATGAAAATCTTGTTTTCCAACCCCTAGCTCTTATACTGTAGAAAAACCCCAGTATTCCCAAACTTTAGCCAGTTCTGTATTTTAATCCAAGAAGAAATACTGGTTTTATGCTGGTACCTCATTCTTGCTGACAGTGCCTACTGTCAACTACATGCTTTTAAAAAGAATTTAGAGTTTTGCTGCTTCATTGCAAAGCACTTGAATAAGACCTGGTTTTCAATTCTTGCTTAAAAAAAAATAAAAATCAAGTACACCGATGGTATCCCAAAGGATGAGTATGCAAAACTGATACTCAGTTTAAATCCAAGAAATTACCACATAGATGCCATACAGACATAAAAATAATCTATGACCCCAAAAGGGAATACATTAGGTAAGAGTTAAAGAGAGAGAAAAAGAGACATTACATGCAGTTCTTTTTAGTTCAAATTCTTCAAAGAGCCACCTTCTGCTTTTCTGTTTCTTTTCCTCCATTCCCTTACAGTACTGAACTGCTGCTGGATATCAAATCTGTGGCTACCATTTAAGAGAGGCCTTTGAGGCCATTTGAGAGAGAAGAGGGGCCTTTGCTTTCCTAGACAGGGAACAGGAAACACAGACGCACAGAGGCAGGTCCCCGCTTCCACAGGGAGGGACACATGTTCTTTTCCCTTCACTTGCCATTTGAACATGGAGTCATTATTCTCTTCAATTTTCTCTTCCTCTTCTTGCCAGCAACGTAGGAATGCACAGTGGAGAGATATTATTATTAGCAATATCTGTCAACACATCTTTTGCGTATTTACGTATTTGAACAGCAGTAAGGATTGGTGTAAATGCCATGAAATGTCTTGCCTTCATCTCCACTAAAATTACCCACAAACATGTTGGCAAAAGGGCTGCTTCAGGTTTTCTGCTATGGACTGGATTTTGTGCCAACCACAGTGTGGATGTATGTTGAGCCAAAACATAAAGTTGCCTGGTATTTTAATACATATACAAGTATCAAAACAAAAGTATGGAAATTACTGCTACCAAAAAAAGCAGGAAACTGCTATCAGGCATCCATGTACACATGCATTCCACATGAATCTCAGGCTTACCTGGGGATTCTTGAAAAGTGCGTATTTCTCTATACGTTCCACGAACATTAGTTTGTTTTGACTATCTCTTGTCCAGTTCAGAAGATTTTCAACTAAATTTTCATGATCTTCAAAGATCCTTTCTGCAGCAATAACAGGAGAGCAAATACATTTGAAACTGTCACATTTTTTTAATAGAAAACAACTCTATAGTCACATGTGGGAGACAAGGCACGTATAGAAAGAAAATAGAGTTCAAGGTCTACTAAAATGGCCAAAAAGTTTACACTATGAAACTAAAAGGACTTAGTCAACTTTCAGACATGCCTGGTTTAATTTTACACATACACTCACTCAACACTCTTGCTTCTGTCTCTTCAGGCTCATTGTTTTTCAATATATGAAATGTTTTTCTCTTTTTTTTACCTGACAAAGCCTACCATCCCACATGAACACAGCAGATTCAAATGATGACACTTCAAATGTTATGATTACAAGTAAGAAGGTTATCCCATTTATATGTACTCTGGTCCACACAACTCCTGGAGGAATTTATTAGGCAGATTTTCAGCACAAAATCTGTTTCTGCATCCCCAATCACTATCTCACTCAAAAAAAGACACAGACAATGATCAGAGGGAAAATAAAGTGCTTCCAAAATGCACAATACCCATGGTTAGTGGGGGTATGGTAGAAGTTATCTGAAAACTGACACTGTCTATTTCTTACAATATCTTGCTCATTAATTGACCTATCAACAACGGCTTCTGAGAACTCTGAGCTTTACCTCTGTGTTGAAATAGTTATAGCTAGTACAAGATACTGAAAACAGGAAAAAGAGAGGAGAAGGAAGAGGAACATTAACTGAAATGGTAGAAAAATATCTGAAACCCCTTATTCTAAAATAAGTAAGGAAGACTATATCTTTGAGAAACCACTAGACCAACTTTCTCCTCCCTTCAAAGACACTAAAGTAGAATCTTGCTTTCTGCCATTTGTTCCCTCTTCACATAGGCCATAAAGTGTCATTTCACCAAATTATTATCCTATGTGATTTGCTTGACCTTTCAATTGTATCTGGAAACAGAACATGTTCTTTCACAGAATCACAGAATGTTAGAGATTGGAAGGGACCTCGAAAGATCATCTAGTCCAATCCCCCTTGGATACATGTACCTAAATCAGACTACTCAAAAACTAGTTAACCACACACATTTGAAAGAGACCACATAAAATGCAAAGACAACCAGGAACTCCACAAGCCTCATGCCTTTTCTCCACAGTTTGTTAGCTTAAAGCTTTCACTGCATTTTATTAAACAGTGCAATTGATAAGCAATCAATCGACAAGACAACATGGTAAAACTACACTGTGAAGGTACATAGGTCTTCTGTGTCTTGCTAAAGGAAAACATTGTAATAAAGGTGTTCCTCTTAAATAGGCATTGCCAGAAAAAATGTTTCAAATGATGAGCCACTGACAAAATAACACAATATAATACACAACAGTACACAGGGTGAGGGCTTTGTTGTAGTCATTTTTTCATCTGTTTCAAATTCCAGTATAAAATATATGAATCAAAATGGCTGAGTTTTGCATGGTCTATTAAAAAAACACATACATGAAATCTATGAAAAACTACCTAACAGTTGCCCTACCAAGGATCAAGGAAAGCCAAACTGAAAAATGAGGCTGCACTTCCAGAAAGTGTCTTACAAAATAAAATCTAAGATGGCAAAGATCCCTCACTGAGTCTTGAGTTCAGGATCCTATTACCTACATAGGATTCAAAGATTTTTAGAGTGATAGAAACATAAAACTATTGCAGAACTAATAAGATTTATTCATACTATTCTCATTGGCAAAATATTACAGAATTACACCTTTGATTTTTATATATCTAATTTGGATTTACACAGAATTGGGAAACTTTCATTTAATAAATTTAATTTGTTAAAATTTTCATTTATTTAAATTTTAAGGTTTTGAGTCTAATAAGATATTAGTTTTCATATGAAAGGTAAATGATTCAAAGGGTACCTTGTCACTCTACAATGGCCTTTTACGTCTAACAATAAGCAAAGTTAACATGCCATGTTGCCTGAAATAGCAAAGGTTTCACCAAAAGAGAGAGGACATATTAATTTGTATTTTAATTTGAAATCCAAATATTTGCGTTCAGTTCTGGGTTTCTCTTTAGTCAACTGGTAAGGTGCTTAACAGCTCGCTGATACAATTCTTCTCTGATAATGGGGATTCATAATCTTGTTTTTCTGACATTTCCCTCCTTCTTTTCCATTCAGATGATATATTATTTGGCTAAATTAACAATATGAATGAAGGAAATATTCCCAGATCATTCTGAAACAGCATCATTCATGAATATTTACTACATGAATGAACTGGATGATGAACATTATGAAGACAAGAATTTAAATCTTTCTGAGGACAAAGACATAGACAAGTATAATATCAAGTATTATAAATGTTTGTAATTATTACTTACCCATTTGCAATTCAGAGATGGTTTCCACCAATGACCAGTCTAAACTGTAACCGCAATGCGATTTGTCCATCAGATTGTCTAATACTTGTCTCACTGTCTGCCTCTCATCCACCATCATTGTTTTTGAGCTGTCATCAGACATGTGGACTCTGATCACTAACTATTAAGCAAAAAAATTAGCAAAACAAGAATAATTCATTTCCCATATTTCAAATAAGAACGTGTTTAAGATCTTGTTTATTTTTATAAGATTTTGTTAAAATAACATAAAATATTAAGTTCAAGCAAAACACTCCCTCAAAATGTAAAAAGCCATAAATGATGGTTAGATACTTGTATCACAGACACTTAACAAGATGCTCTTCTCCTTCACTGTAAGAGAGTAAACATAAAGGTCTTCCCAATGCAATGACAACATGCTTTAGTTGTGTGTTAAGGAGGAAAAAAAAATCCCTCCTGCCCAAGTGTCCTGTTCTGATTAATAAAGCATCTTTGTGACATTTTTTCTCACATATCTAGGTGGAACAAACACAGAGTTCTGCACAACCTTATACAGAATGAGAATTATTCAGATTTGCAGTTCAAGCTTTCTGCCTTATTCCTCCATATTGTCTAAAAATGCTGATTATGTAAACAATACCTATACTAAATGTTCTTTTTCTGGGGATTATGAAGCATTAGTGTTAAAGAAATCTGCTTTTAAAACACAATGGCTTTTCAGAGGCACTTTAAAGAGACCACTGTCCAAAAAGAAAAATGCAGCCACTTTTTTAACCAATCCAAAAAATTAAGACAATAGATTTCTCTTGCCAATTATTATGCTTCTTTTTTAAACCATCTTCAGCTGGAAATGTTAAAACATACTAGTTGTAATATGCTGGTTTTCTTGTTATTTCCCATCTTCCAGCCAGGACAGTTTTTCAGCTTTTTTTTTTTTTTTTTTTCCCAGGCATTTTAAGCTACTGAAAAACTCCAAGCATAAAATAAGAATGCTAAGTTTCAGGGGAACACTTTATATTCTTTGATAGTGCATCAAGTAATGTCAGTAGACTTTCCACTTCGTAACCTCTGTCTGTAGTCTGGAATCCTTGTATTCCATTGATCACTGGAAAATACTGCTATGCATAATGGGAAGGGATCTGTAAAGAAAACAGACCCAAATTTTAAATGTGTGATTGCTTAATATAAAAAGACAGTCTCAGGAGGTTGGATCTTCATTTCAGCTCTGGGTGTAGGTTGGCAAAGTCTTCAATGTGCACAAGCTATAAAATAAGCTATTCCTTAAGAAAAACATGTTATTCCATATGCTAGGATTTTCTTGATTAGGTCCAGCCTAAATGAGAAAGTACATTATCACCCAATATCAGAACACTACAGTGTCCGTTTTATTTAGGGCAACTTAAGGGTAATAGACACAAATGGGAAGAATTTTGCCTGCATTTTCCAGGTGAATAAGTATAAAACAAAGACCCTGTAAACCAGTATAATAATTTACCTTTTTCACTTGTGCCTCTTTAATCTTCTCTAACGCAACCCTAATCTTCTCAGCTTTGAGTTTAGCAGCCTGTTCCTCCTAGTGAAACATAACACACAGAATTCCAGTTAATACAAACTTCAGTTTGGTTTTAGTGGATTTAATTTTGAGGCTACCACACTCTAAAACATGAACTAAAATTCTGATTTACCCACCTATAAATCCTCAACTATTTCTTAGTGATGATAAAGGCCATTAGTTTTTAAGATAAAAAGTGTTACAGTATATAACTCACATTTAGAAATACAACTGCCATTATCTCCAAAAGAACATACTGGAGGTATATATTTTGTACAGACACATTTGGTATTTCTTTATTCTTCCATACTATAAGCAGCATTGTGCTTTAATACCAAATATTTTTAGCATATCACGTACTTACAGTCATAGACTTGGACAGTACATATTCAACAAGAGTGTACAATTGAGTACACCCAATAGATTTTTTGCTGATGAACATGAAACATAAATATCAGAATTTAACAGCACACAGAAAGTATAGAAAACAAATCCTGTAAGTAGGATTCCACACTATGTGCATTCGGGTTTGGAAGATTTTTAATTACTAAATACATTTGCAATAAGTAGCTTGAACACTCCCTTTATCTTTACTGAATCCAGGCTGTATTTCTTCTCACTTTAAGCCTCTTAAAGATGCATAAAGCAAATGAGCATTCTTTGATGGTCTAAGTAATCTATTTTTGTTACAACTGGAAAAGCATTAAAAATTCAGATAATTTAAAACTATTCTATCTGCTGGTGTTGTTAAAGAAATCTGTATATTGTAAGACTAGCAATACTGTCTTAATTTCTGCAGATTACTGATATTTCTGTTGAAAGTGGATTTGAAATAAACAGGTAAATAAGCAAAGACTTTTTAAGATGCCATATGCAGGTTTCAGATTTTAGAAATCTTAAATTGTGGGTGTTCATTGTGGCTAATATCTCAAAGAATCATGATTATTTACAAATCTCTAGAACAATAAATAAACATATTAAATAAATAAACAAATCTCTTCCAAAATATTCAATCTCCTTAGGATAAAAAAAAAAAAAATTTTTTCTCAGATCAAAAGTAGCACCGCCCATCACAACAACACTCAGCATGCCACAGACTTTTATTTCTGAATGTCTTGCTTGTATGAATGTAATTTGTAGTTTCTTTACCATGTGTTTAGATGGTTACTTTTCTTGTTAAAGTTAAGATTCAGCTACCCTGAAATCCACAGAGTTCAAGTTTTCCACTTCAGTGAATTACTAATATTCCTATCAAATACTAAAGGGTATTCCCTAGGCTACTTACTGTACTCTTACTTAACAGCTTTTGCTCCCTCACACCTGTGACCATACTATGCACAAGAAAAAACATCAGCTAGACAGGACAACAGGCTGCCTTGTGGGAAACGTAGTCCTTTTCAATAAAATGAGCAGAAATAATGTGAGCTTGAAACATTGTTTGGTAACTCAATTACCTAGGAACATCGGATTTTATTAGTCTACAGGGAACTATGGCTTTTCATTCACCACAAGGATGGTGTCATATAGCTTAGAAAGGTTAAATCAGATTAGTGTTTTATTAAAAACAAACAAACAGTGCCACGATACCTAGAACAATTTAAATGTAAAACACACCTAGAATTCTAAAATATTCTTCCTATTCCTTAACATTAACCATTTCCACCTGTAGAAATAAATTATTACTAAAACTAAATACTTGCAAGTTTCTAAAAGTGACATTATACACCTGTGCATTATGAAATCAGCAAGAGCAAAAAAACTTGTTTTTATTTTATCGCACATTTGAAGAAACTGTAATTTATAGTTTTAAAAAGCTCCTCATTAACCCAACCATAAACATTTATTGCTGTACAAAGATTGACAGCACATCTGGCTCTGCTCTTCACTAAGTCAAGCAGCCCAATTTTCCACCCCATTTAACTGTACACCTGTGCAATGCAACTAGCTATAGCAAACCCCAGCAGGAGCACTTTACAGCCAGAGTGCTCAGGTACACGCAGCAACAAGAGAACAAGCAACAAGGAATCAGCTTGAGGCCTCTCATATACCTCCGCCAACACAGCTTGAGTATCTTTGTTGATCTCAAAGTTTATAATCCATCATTCCCTAAAATGCTTTTAAGAAATAAATAAATATGTAAACCAAAAAATATTTTGAGGATTTACTATTTTAATACCTACCAATTACTTTTCATTTCCCACTCAATTTTAATGTGGGTCCAGAGACCAGGATTTCTTATATTTTACTGGAGTTTAACAAGGTCAGTTAAACAAAAACACAGAATTATGATTATAAAAATACAAATTGGTTTCAACCAGCAACAAATTATAAAAAACGGTCTGAATCTACTTACTGGAAATGCAGAGAGGAAAAGGAAGCAAGAATTAGAAATTTCTGAAATCACACAGTAGTCAAGGATTTTAAGTTTTGCTTTACAGTTAGTGCTCAGGCCACTCTTACATCATTGCTGATGTGACAAATGATGTTTCACTGGAGCAGGAGGAGTAACTATCTATCTTGATTACTTAATAAAACAATTTAATAACTACAGAATTATTTAAAACCCACAATTTACACTATTTATCTCCTAATAGCCCAAGAAAACAGCTATCCACACCCCCTCCTCATCAGAGCCCCCCCAAAACTGCACTCAGACACAAACTCTCTCCTCCCCCATACATGGAATCAAGACAACTCCTCAGTGGGAGGAAGCACATGCAATCCATCAGCTTGTACTAAGCTAACAACATTTTTCGTTGCACACAGAGAAAGGTCAGAGGTGGCAAAACCACCTGATTTCAACCGTAAACTATTCAATACCACAAACTAACACGGCCAGGACACACAGTCCAATCACATTTAAGTTACGTATTTATTTCCCCTTTGCTAGTAAATCCTTCTAGTAATACCGATGTGAGTTAGGCAACCAAAGGGTCATAAACACGTACATAAACGGCAGGACTGCTGCCTAGGTCATGGTTTCACAAGTGGCACGTAGCAATGTTAAATCCCTGATATGGCTGATATGCCTGTCTCATATAGCATTACTTCTTAGTTACAGCAGTCACAGTGCTGCTGTGGCCAAACAGACAGTTTGGTCAGGGAGCTGATCTGGTTGAAAATTAACACAGCAGAAAGATTCAGCAGAATCCACTCCTTGGTAAGACTGCCTTTATGGTCGCATACCTGCTATGGAAAAGCATAAAGGAGAAATACACATGTACCTACTGTGTAAAGACACAAAATAAAGGACGGTCCTTTCCACCTCTGACAGGAAAAGGATATTCTCTTTTAGTAGCAGTACACATCACCGTAAATTTGCCAGCTTTAATGGGACAACTTCTGCAGTATTGTAATACTGGCATTTTAAAGCTTTGAGCTGAGATTACTTTTGGTTATGGAGAACATCACACCTAACTTAAAGAATGCTTGGCAACATACTTACGTTAAGAACTTGTTCATCCAAACTATCCTAACATACTGTGAACTAAAATTGAAAGAGTACAGCTCTGCAACGCAATGGTTTTAATGACTTTTTCTTTGTATTTTTATACCTGAACTCAGTTTTCAATAATTTTAGCCCATACTTGGATATTGGAAAGAATAACCCTACAAGATATAAAGTTAAGATTTCCTTAATATGAGAGCAATCACAGTCTCCTGTCCCAGTTTCCAGTTAAATGTGCAGTTAAATATATTCCAGCTGTGTTTTAACCTTTAATATGCAAGATATGCGCTATGACAGAGCTGACCTTGCTCAAATTATTTTATGCCTCACATTTCTTGGTTGTGGTTGCCTGAGAACACCACATTAACATCTAATTCCTGAAAACCTCAAGACACTTGTATCAGCCCCATGTTCAATGTGTATAAATCACATTAATGAAGTGTTTTCTGGTGGTTGTTTTCATTTATTATAAAAAAAAGAAACAGTAGAAAAAGTGTGTACGTCATCAATACTGGAAGGGGAAAGCTGAATGAGTGAATATTAACAGCCATTCTTCAGTATTTCTTGATAAACTCATTAGGACACGCAGAACACCCCTAGCCTAAAAAAACCAATATGCAGCAATGGTGGCACAGCCCATTCATAAAGAGTGAACTTGCATTTACAGTAGTAGTTCATGACCATTCTCAAAACACGTTTTATTGCATTTATTCTCAAAATAAGCCAGAATAATCTACACCTGAATAAAGCAGAAAAGGAAACAAGGCATCACTCTCTTTCAAAGTTCACTAAATGTGAGTGTGCAGCTGCCATTTTCCTGGGATCCAAGTCCATCCTCCCTACTGTAGACTCATTCCACATTTCCTTCTTCTTCCTTCCCAACTTCATATAGTTTTCTATACTTCAGGCACATTCCTGATTTATTGTCACCATATTGTACTATGTTAATAGATATGGAAATGCATGTAAAGCAGTAGTATTGTTTTGGGACTTGTGTCTGAGAATTATTCACCTGAAAATTTTTTTAATATTATGACTGTCGTGGTTTTTTTAAAACCACGGTTACAGTTTTTTCCTGAACACCTGGTGGGCTGAGGCAGGGAACTGGGAGGGTTTCACTCACCACTTCGGGTCACGGGCAAGAGACCGACACGACTCGTGAAGAACAATAAAACAACTGGATATATTAACTATTTACAATAAGAAGCAGGATATTGAAACAGAGAAACCCCATCTTACACAAAAAGGCACTTCTCCCCC